AGCTAACCATATTGGTCTAAGCAAGGAAAGTATGATGTTTTCGATGAAGATATAGCTTTGTTCAAACGTTGGTGTTGTTGTGTTTTTGATCAAAGCAACCAGAATTTAAGCAAACAACTATTATGAGCAAAGATTAAGTTTCGGCTTTAATAAAGGCCTAGGCAACTGAAATAAAATAGAGCATAGTAGTGCGTAAGTAAAAGGATTATCGTGAAGTAGATAAGTGATATCTCAATGAGAAGTGAATTCAAAGATCTGGAGGATTAGAACCCGTAGGACAAGCCGACCTGTAAGATGTCTCACGAAATTTTGCAGGGCCTACGGGGTAGCAGTTTGACAAGAAGCTTAACAGGCTTGTAAATGGCAGGAGCAAAATCATTTTTTTGTAATTAAATCTGTACAACCGTTATTATTCCTTTATTGTTAAGGAATTAGACGAATGTTTTATTCTCGAGCTGTCAGAAAATGCATGTTGCTGTCCAACAGATCGGAGCTATTCACACTAGCGACCACTGCTATATCTGCTGATCAGCATACGCCACCCTCCCTTTCAAGAAGCGGATAAACCACAGCTGCAAAGCAGTAGTTCCACCTATGTATTACAAAGAAATGTTGCATAAACTTTACCCAGAGTAGTTCAGCTGCTGAGATGAATCCTATTCCCTTAGCATACAACCACCATACAGACTTACAGCAGAAAGACTTCCATGGGAGCAGACAACCCAACTGGACAAATAGAGGGAACAAAGTGTTAAAAAGGAGGACGAAAGTGGGACCCTCCTTGGAGAGTAAAGGGGAAATTATTGGGAATTTGCACAGGTTCCCCCCCCTTTTCCCAGACTTCGCATAATATCGCCTTTTACGTCACACATTTCCCATCTTTTTGACGCATATCTTCCACCTAATTAGCTTTATTTCTCCCTATTAGTCGCATAAGTTCCCCCTTATTCGCTTTACGTCAACCAACTAGCAATTCGCCATTAAAATAAAGTTTCGTTATGGAAAGGAATATATTTCAGTGGTTGAATAGGAAAAGGAAAAAATTTAACAACGATTCCGCCAATTACTTCTTTAGGATTAATGAACACTTAGAATTACAAATAATACACACAAGTAGAATGATCGTCTTTTAATATGAAGTGTGAATTTCGCATTACACCTACCCGCCATCATCTAGTAGATCCACTGAACTATCTTGAAAAGGAATTATTAGTGAGCAAGGTAGTAATCAATGGTAACACTTATACAGAGATTTGACATAAAAATAATGATATGATAAGCGTGGTTATTCAGCTGTAAACAGTTACCTAATTAATAATAATAATATATTTATTTCTGTTTTTGCAGGAACATACCAATTGTACAGGCATGGATAAGTTATTGAGTAGAATTCAATTTACTTGTTCACAAATAAATAGTAACACTTAAGGTCTATTTTTAAAAGTTGAAATTTCCCCTGCACACAGTAACAATTGAGTCATTATAGAAAAACCATTAACTGTAGAACCAACTGTCTACATGAACACGTAGTTCATATGATTAACAGCACTAGTTATCACAACGTTGAGAATTACACGCATTATAGATTTTTATGGCCTTCATTTAATTAAATTGTCACTCAATGCAGAGATCGTCGGATCGCTCTTCTTATTGTCGACAGCAAACTGTCAAAACTAAATCAGAATTTCGTTGAGTGACATACACACAATGAAACTGTTTGCAGTATAGTAACTTAAATTAACCTAAAAAAGTTTACTTACTCTTCGCCGGCTCCCCCTTCCTGCTATGCGATCACGTACGTCGTTCGAATAGGCCCTAGTACTTCATTGATTCGTTCTCGGGCATTGTAGCAGGAACAAACCTGCTTATAATGACGGCTGAAAGAAATATTTAAATAAAGCAAGCTTACACGTTATGACTTTATAGAAGCTGCATTTTGTGGGGGCTAACTTCCTTGGTGTTCCCCAGGCTGTGAAGTGACTTGACAGCTTAGGCTCCCAAGTGTAATTAAGCATTCGTCTCTTCGAAGACTGCGGACTAAACGATAAATTGTCAACCATTTTCGTCATCTAAACGTAATCGAAGGTTAATTGTAAACTTACGAATGAATCTCTGAATTTTGGGGTTTTCAGTGACGCTTCCAGTTGGTTTATTTCTTCTTCAGTTGCCAGGAAGAATTCCAGTTGACTGTTGTCAATGGGGGACTTACTGGTTACCAAGACGGACACGTTTCTGGCCCCATTAAGTGAAACCAACTGCATTTTTCCTTTAAGGCGCTGTAATTCGGTTATCAATTTATCCTTTTTTTCCTTCCTGCTAAGTAACCAGTAATAAAAAATTACATACATGGTCTGCAGAATTGGCTGTGCGACCGGTAAAGATGTCGCCACTGGCATTTGTTGACTAGGAGTGCTGAAGGAATAAGAACATTAAATGAGTACGCTACCTGACATCAGAGTTTCCATGAAATTGGTGTTATGGTATTTGGACTGCCCACACACTTCCTGTGCCTCCACTGCTTCTAGTTCAGCGGAGTCATAAGCGCGCGAAGCGTAATCCTTTTCTTTCACTCTGTATAACGTCATTAAACAATAAGAACCTACCGTTGACGTTTGGTATTACATAGGGGCAAGGTCTTCTCGAGATTATCTAACCTGCCCATGGTATTGTGTATTTGTAGTATAGCGGACAAAGTATTCTAGGCCTCTAGAAAGGGTTATAATTACGGGGATGTAGTTATAACCGAAATAGTTACCTTTCTTGGCTAGCGTCTGACAGGGAGTAAAGAGCCAATCCTGTCCAGGGTCTATACATGCTTGAACTTCAGACTCTGTTACACTGCTATGATATACTCATAATTTATCCAACATCATCCATTTTTTCGCTGCTAGGGAGAATTCCTTTGCATCAGGCTTTGCTAACACAACCTAAGCCTTCTCTTTGCTCTGTGAGAACTAAGCAAGTATGATATAAACAAAATTTACCGTCTCATTAGTCCGTCTTTCATTGAATATAGGAATGCTGACGGTTGACGCAATCAATCTAAGCAGGTTTCGGAAAAGTATGAGGCAACGGCACTCCTACTTCATACTTGTTTGTACGAATACAGAAGCACCTACACATAGTGTCTGATGGCTTTATTTCTAGAGTCTTGTTGCAGGCAATGAATATTGTAAACTAAGTGCGCCCTGCCATAAATAACCTCAAACTCATTGTGGAAGTCTACTAGCTCATATCTGCAACCATCCAAGTAATTCCGATAAAACTCCTCATGCAACATACGGCAAACTGCAAAACTAAGTCTTTGGAAGTTGCAGTATATTCTGGAAGGCATAGTGCCTTTAAGTAAGACAGGCCCTAGGTAAAAGAGGAAGATGCGACATTCAGTGGCCTTCCAGCTACTAACTTCGGCGAGCCCTCTACACTTTCTCGGGAAGTCCATGGGAGTCATTCTACCACAAGCTCATATCTTCCCGTCAATGGTTTCAAGTATGCGCCGGTTTATGTGCCTCTTCTTTTTTGGCTGAGTCCTAACAGAGACTTATAAACTTCTTGTCTAACCTTAAATAGACTGAGTGCATTGGGTCAATAGGGAAGCACTTAACCATATCAATACCCAAATCCTCAAGGCACACTGTCCGCAGTAGTGACTTGACTGCAGGATTTGACGGAAGCTGTCATCAGTCGTAGCTAGAAAACTTCTATTTTCAAATGTCATTCTGCCGTCAGGTTTCCTTTCCGTAACTGTGCATTTGTCACAGCCTGCACGGGCATTATGGCTCACTGTAATTTTCACGTCCACTCTAGCCGGTGCCTCACAGATGGCGGCTCCCAGGCAAACATTGAAATGTCTATTCGGTCTGGTAATATGTATGCCTTGACTTAATATATCCTTTAGCTCATATGCTAAGTCATTGCGTAACTCTTGTAACTGCTAGGTTCGCCAGCACCACCGTATATAACTATCAGGAATTCAATACTTAGGAAAGGTGTCGTAATTCTATCTAACAGGGCTGATTGGAAGACTTCGACGTGGACAACCCGCCGACATTCA